TAGTACTTAAGGCATCGATTCAAAAACTATTTTTTTGAAAGAACGAATTTCTGTTTATATATGTGAATTAGGGCTTGATTTATAAAAATTATTTTTACCAAATTGAATATATGCTTTTAATAAAAAAATGAACATAAACCTATAAATAGTTTGAGAAGGCCCTGTTAAGAAATTCAAATACCTTTGCTTTGCCGAACTAATTTGTTTTTCTTTCTTTTCAGTAAAAGTAAAATTATTACTCCAATACTAGCTAGTTTAGAATAGTACATGTCACTAACTCTGTTTACAGAAGCTTCAGTAAATGTACTATAGTAGCTATAAATCAATCGACCTAAATGATAAGAGTAGGAGATATTTTGTAGGCGGCGATTAGAGATTTCATTGAACATATACATAGCGTAATGAATTAATTAAGCATACTAACAAGTGTGGTTAATTTTCTCTGCATGCACGCTCCAAAAGCAAATGCTTTAACGCGGCCGCTAATTAATGGTTGCTCCAGCTAACCTACTTGTAAAATAACATTGTATTTTTTTGTGAAAAGGTAAATATTTCATTTAGAACGAAAACAGTTCAGGTTTACAATTATTAGTTATAAACCTAATAAGATCCGGCCCCATTAAAAAGTTGACATAGTGCAAAAATTGTAAAAAACACCTTAAACTTTAATAATTTTTTTGCAAAACCCCTATATTTTAAAAAATTGCTATAAAAACCAAGTAAAAAATCGTAAAATCAGTTTAATATGGTGCAAATGTACCAGTTGCACCACATTAGAACCGGTCCTGAACCTATTAAATGATTNCACGGCAAAAAAAAATAAAAACATGAAGATCATAAAGCATTAAAATTTTCAGTCTGTCGCTTGACATTTATCCGGAGGTTAACGGAGCAAGAAGAAGTGATGACGATGTTGAATGTTCATCCAAGATCATTTGGCGTAGAGAAGTTCGAAGGCCAAACACAAATGCCGCAATGAATTAAAAGCCGAAGCAATATAAGCCGTTCAAAGAGGACCAGACAAAGAGGTGTCAACAGAAGGAACTTCAACGATCTCGATCACTAACTCTCCTTGAGTCTAGTGAGAGCGACTAGAAGCGTGAATCCATGAGCTAGCTCTAGGGAGAGACCTCGCACCAAGAAGCGAAAGGAGCAAGTTTCCCCTACCAACAACATTGGCTAGTACAAAGCAAGATATAGCAACCAAAAACACTCCAAACCGCAATGATTTTACTAGCTCCTCTAAAGCACAAATCTAGTCCTACGGACCTCAACACTTAACAACATTGTTGGAGACCTTTTTTCCTATGTTACAGCCTTAGAGATTTTCTAGGGTAATTACCGAAGTACAAGATTAAGATGAACCTTTAAAAAAAAACTTGATTTGTTTGTTGTTTACACGCCTACTCGGCTTGCAATGTTGCGCGCTTTCTCATATCTCAGAATCTCCAACAACACATATCCATATGACAACTTGTGGGTAAATATGAAATACTTATTAGGACACTCACCAATTGGGAGGAACGGGGATGAGGTCTTTCAGTGGATATTGTGGTACATATAAAAAGCACGTAGTAAAAATTTGTTTAGCAATGTGGATCGCATGGCTGTAGAGATTATAGAGATCGTGCGAAAGAAAGCATCTGAATGGTTTAGGATAAATTGCACGGATGTAACTATACCTCCTCTGCTGCCTTCGCGTTCCCCTCTAAAGGACAATAATGCATCGTTCAAGTATTTTATTGATGAATCTTGGAAAATTGATGACTCAACTGTGGGTGCGGGATGGGTGCTAGAGTTTCAGGATGATACGACAGATCTCTTAAAAATCCAAGACAAGCGGGAAATTTTACCCCTACATTTGGAATTGTATGGCATACCATGGGCCACGACAAGAAAAAAAAAACAACGTTTTTATTTGTGGTTCATGATTTAAATGAAGTGGCTAGAATGGTGTCAAGATCAGAGAAATGGCCAAAGTTTCCAACCAAAATTGAGTGAGTTGAAGGAGTTTCGGAAATCGTTTTCGGAGTTCGCGTTTGTCCATTTTACTGGGGATAAGAACACGAAGACTTACTTACTCGCCGAACTGCTCACTCTCAGAAGACAATATTTTCATATATAGGCACTTGTATTTTTTATTGGTTTGTGGATATAATATATTTACCCAATCAATAATAAAATGTGTCATGAATTTTTTTTTTTGAGTTTGTTTATAAAATTATATTGCGGGAGTAAACACACACAAGCCTAAAATTTTACTCAAAGCGAGGTCCTAAAGGCCGAAGTTCATGCCTTCAACCAAAATATAAAGTGGAAGTCAACTTAAGTTTATATAACAGTCACGAGCTGCTTAACTCAAATTCTTAAGTTCTTTTAAATGCCTCTCACATTACAATTTTGGACCTTCTCTTGGATACCAACATTACTCCTGTTAGGGATTTATGCTTGAATCCTGTCCCAAAACGAATCGATTACGGATATTAAAGACACAAAGGTTTGTTCACTCTGAGTTCACCGAAGCTACGTCTCAGGGGTGGAGACTCTCCTCCACAACTGCATCCACTATGAAGATCGGAAAACACCTCCGATGTGGTTTACAGTAAGAAGATCATAGACTTTCTCTATCTCCGGTTAAACAATCCGAGAGAGTACAAGAAGATATCGAGGGAAGAAGATGGCTACGAGCTAAGCCTAGAACTAGAGACAACACCTCTCTATCTAGCTTACTCTATCTCTCTCTATGAGATGCCAAGAAGCGCTCGAAAGCGGCTTAGATTAACAAAGAAGCAAGCCTCTGTTTTTATACCGAAAAAACAGAGTCGGTGAAACCCTAACGTGACTAACGTTTAGCCAATAAGAGTAGACCTTTAAAACCTTCTGATATATGTAGAGTCTTTACTTCTTGGTCTTTAATCAAACCTTCTGGTTCCTTTAGCGTCTTCAATACACTTAAGCCAAATATG